TTTTTTTTTTTTTTTTTTGGTTAATTTTTTGATATTTACGTTCAGGTAATCTTATGTTAGTTTTTGCAGATTTCAAGATCAATTCTTTCCTAAATTATTTTCAAGATACACCCCTTACAATGATCTGGTGCATATAAATTAATTTTTTTAGATATTAACTCAAGACTTAAATCATGAACTTGGCTTATAAAATGAGAATTACTTATGAATTATGAATGGATACAAACCCTTAATTAAGTTTAGCTTTCATCTCTTGTGGTATAGTTAATCGGTAGAAATAATTGATGTACTAAAATCACTTTAATAAAAGTAATAGTCACTTCAAATAATATAATGATGAAAAAAATGTCAAACAATGATCGCGATTAACTAAATACAAAAAATAATTAATTTAGATTTATTTGAATAATAAAAAAGAAAGAAACTTTAATTAAAAGTAAAAAAAAAAAATAAAATAAAATTAATCAAGATATGAGATACTAAAATATTGATTTTATCATAACCAATCAATATAAATTTTAACTTAATATGTTTCAAAAGGTAATTTGTTAAATGTTATTGCATATGGATGATATGTTTTCCTAAATTAATTAATTAGTTTTCACAAGGTAAGTTAATTCTTTAATTATTTAAATTAATTATATCTCTATATAATTTAAAACAAACTAGTAAACATTAAGTAATATAGAAACCTCTAGTTTAAAAAGAGAAAGTTTTTAACTCTTTTCTCTTTATTCACTATCACATGTGACGTTAGTTATCTCTTGGCCTCATAGTCTAACACTGGTTAATATTGTTATATATTGGTCTAATTTATATAATTCTTTTTCAAAATTTATACATAAATTACATAATTAATCAAAAGTTGATCAAACTTTTGAAGCATTAAGATGATGATAAAAACTCACTATGTGAATAACTTTAATTAAAAGTATAAAAATAATAAAATTTATGTTAAATTAATTAAGTTACATAAGAACCCTAATAAATTAAATTAATTCATAATAAAAGTAATAAAATTTG